ATGCATTACACGCATTGTCTATGGGACATATCGGGTTCACGCTTTTGGCTCCCAGAACGATCTTTATTGCAATGACGAACATAATGCACCAAATCCCGCTAGTTTTTGCACGCAGTGCTTGCGAGCCCTTTCTAGGTTCTTTCCCTATCCCAATTTCTTTCAAACTTCGTAGGCATAGTCACTACCATCCAATCAAGGTCACTGTTGAGGCATTTCTTTCGCCCTACCTATCTCCAATATCAAAGAAGCTACAGACTTCGTACGAATTGCTCTGGATAGTCCGAGAGAAGCTCTTTCGTTTGACACGTAGAAACATGGCGTCATTGCACGCACATCGTTGTGACACGATTGCATTTCTAGTTCTTCCTCTGCCTCTTCTTCTTCCACTTCTTTTTCGTCTTCCTCTTCTTCCTCTTTCTTCCCTTCTTCACCTTCTCCTACTTATCACTATTATATTATTCTCTTTACTCTTTATTAGGTGGTCTGTTGTCAACAGACCACCTATTGTTTTCGTCAGAATTTTCTTTCTTTATTTATTTATTTATTTATTTATTATTCTTTATTTTTATTTCTTCCCGTTTTTTGTTTATCGATTAACTCAAGATCGGTCGTGTTAATTTCTTTCAATTTTGACACAGTCATAGGTCATTGTCATGATACGTGACAGGAACATTTTCAAGGTCATCAGGTCATCGTGACGTCATCCAGGCGCCATTTTGTGAAATCACGTTATCCATCATATCTTCGTGATGCATAAGCAAAGGTCATTCATATTCATATCACATATACTTCAGGTCAAGGGTCAACAGGTCATGTCATCAAAGGTCACATAAAGGTCACGACGCGCACGTACGCGTGCGTCAAAATTTACAAATGCTCAAAATCACTTAACTATTAAAGGAGAGTACGAATCAGGTCATTTTAAGCATTTCAAAATTTTCCGTCCGTAAGTGTCCCCGCGCGCGTTGCGCGCGCTCATAGCGCGCGGAAAAGGTCAAATTCAAAATTTTTACATGATTTAGATTCCTCTTACCGTAAATGACAATTTACATTTTTTTTCAGTCACCCTTGACCTTTCATAAGGCTGTGAGCGCGCGTCAAAGTTCAAAATCCGCGCGTGCTGCTATGGGCAATATAATGCAAATTTGATCAAAAACATGCCATTTTAAAAATCATAATAGCTCTTCAGATAGTCCATTGACCCCAACTTTTATATCATGGTTAGAAAAAGCATGAGTTGGAGATATGATTCCATGTCTCATTTGACCCTCAATTGACTCATGACGTCATCATAATGGCCTCCGAACTCAAAATTTCAATTTGCATATTATGACGTCATCATATTTTTGGAAAATTGATTGTATCTTTGTAAATATTGATTAATTTTCTTCCAAATTTTGATATGTTCTACCTGAGAATATTGTCTACAAATGCAGTGACCACGATATTTCATTTTGACAAGGGCATCATGGCGTATTTTCGCGATTAAAGGAGGCATGTCAATTTTTCACATTTTGCGTGTATTCTCTATGGGACATGACTTTTTCTCAAAACTGGATTCTACATTCTCGTCTGTCGCGAGCAATATCTCTGTCGTTTTATCTTTGTTTACGCTGAGCTTTGAGTATGTTGTAGCTGAGACAATAAGCTATCACAAGTGTGCCATTTATTTCTCGATTAGATGACGGGATCATGCTCATATTTCACTTGCAAAGTGGGATTTGAGAATTTCATTTTCCGTTTACGTGTATTCTCTATGGGAAATGTTTTGGTATATCGGTAACGCGCTTGACTTCCGACCTCGAGGTCCCTGGTTCGAGTCCGGGCGTCTCCAACAATTTTTTTTTTTTTTTCTTTTTTGACTTTTCAATGATCATAAAATTGAAAACAGACCACCTAATTCGTCACCATGACGAATTCAATTTCTAGTTTCTATTTCTTGTTTCTTCTCAAATTCACTCTCCATGTACGTCTCTTGAATATCATACTATACTACTCCGTTTTCGCCTCCTATAATATCTTTTAAATCCAAGCCTACTATATTGTGTTACTCAGTACGGGAGCCTATTCACATACAAGCTATGCTTTTTATTTAGGCTCCCCACATTTTACATTGTTCTACCAAGCCTGTTATATATACATATTTCGAAATTTTGTATTTATTTTCTGTACATTATATTTGATCTGAATTCTCTAATTTTGCTTAATAATTTTTTTTTCTTGTGTGAAATCTATTCTTATAATAATATATGCCTGTATAAAAAAGAAAATAGTATAAACTGTTTTTCTATGTAAAATGTGGAATAAATAAAACTTCAAAACTTCAAACTTCAGAGTAGTTTGCTATCAAGCTTGGATTTCCCTTAAAATACTGCTCAATATAATATTGTCTCACTATAATGGTTCAATGAGATTGAAACAAGTTGATGGATCATTTCACATACAGATCAATGAATCGCTTGGGTACAAGGTTCCAGTGAATCAGTTTTACATCCTTCAACCAGGAGATGAAGAAACAAAAAGGAAGATCGAGAATCAGCTTCTTGTGCATCATCAACAGCTTTTGCAACTCCCTCACTTGGTATTTGTTCAGTCTTCTTATGCTTCATATTTTCTCGAAAACATTACACTGCACTACAAAAAACAATCGTGAAATTATACAGTAGGCTTACGGTTGAACCATGTGAGAGGTGGAGGATTAGAAAAGATCTAGTTGAAAATGTAACATTTTTTTCTAGATTCTTATAAAGAAACATATAATGAAAGGTTTTTGATGATTTTAGCCCCATACAGGTAATTCCGAATCCTCTGATCTCATCCGTGGATTTGTGATTATATAGACTCCCGTCATTGAGTTTTTCTCTTCTTGTCCGCTTATGTAATTGTAAATATTGTAAATACTTTTGTTCTACTTTTATTCAGGGTCTCATTCCTTTAGGTAACCTGCTTTTTTTTACTGGATGTACATCTGAAGTGGAAAATGCTGTGTATGGAATTTGACGATGCATGTCAGGTATGTTTAAGGTTATCTTCATTGACATGGTCAGGTCATAACAGCAGTAATTTTTTTCTTGATTTCTCGATAAATATAATAATAATATTTAGCTTTTATATAGCGCTTACTACAAGTGTCTCTAAGCGCTTTACAAATATACTATGAAAACTAGATTTAGTGAACAAATGCTTTGTGGATGAAAAATAAAAAATGAACTTACACCACGTAAAATATCATTTTAATGCATCTCATTTTCAGATAACCAAAATCATATTTGTTTTTTTTATCTCTTTCCTCGATTTCTATTAGTTTATTTTTTCTTCATTTTGTGTGTATTGTTGAGATATCAGGCTTACCAAATCGCTTATCTTTCGAGCTTGAGTTAATGAAATAACTATTGCCAATATTATTTTTTGCATTATAAAAACGTTACAGAATACCTGTTATTTATTATCATTATTATTATCTACGGTTGCACGACTGCACCCAGGTCGAAATTCCTTTAGAAACCAGTAGAAACCAGTAAAGACATTCTAATGGTTTTACTGGTTTTCAAGAAACCATTAGAGTCTAATGGTGATCAGGAGGAACTGTGAAGTAAAACCAGTATAAACCTTTACAAACCAGTAGACTGTCATGGTTTAAAGACCAGTAGAAACCATTAAGATCTAATGGTTTGAACATGGATGCACAAATCTTAAGTCAAACCATTAGACACCTTTACAAACCAGTAGAGCCTAATGGTTTTGAAGACCACTAGAATCCGATAGAAACCAGTAGGATCTAATGGTTTTAACATGGGTGTAAAAATCCTAAGTCAAACCATTAGAAACCTTAACAAACCAGTAGAGCCTAATGGTTTTGAAGACCACTAGAATCCGATAAAAACCAGAAGAATCTAATGGTTTTAACATGGGTGTAAAAATCCTAAGTCAAACCATTAGACACCTTTACAAAACCAGTAGAGCCTAATGGTTTTGAAGACCACTAGAATCCAATAGAAACCAGAAGAATCTAATGGTTTTAACATGGGTGTAAAAATCCTAAGTCAAACCATTAGAAACCTTAACAAACCAGTAGAGCCTAATGGTTTTGAATACCACTAGAATCCGATAGAAACCAGAAGAATCTCATGGTTTTAACATGGGTGTAAAAATCCTAAGTCAAACCATTAGACACCTTTACAAAACCAGTAGAGCCTAATGGTTTTGAAGACCACTAGAATCCGATAGAAACCAGAAGAATCTAATGGTTTTAACATGGGTGTAAAAATCCTAAGTCAAACCATTAGACAGCTTTACAAAACCAGTAGAGCCTACTGGTTTTGCAGACCACTAGAGTCCGATAGAAACCAGAAGAATATAATGGTTTTAACATGGGTCTAAAAACCCTAAGTCAAACCATTAGAAACCTTAACAAACCAATTGGTTTGAAGACCAGTAGAAACCAATAAAAACCAGTAAGATCTAATGGTTTGAATATGGATGCACAAATCTTAAGTCAAACCATTAGACACCTTTACAAAACCAGTAGAGCCTAATGATTTTGAAGACCACTAGAATCCGATAGAAACCAGTAGATTCTAATGGTTTGAACATGGGTGTAAAAATCTTAAGTCAATTACCATTAGAAACCTTTACAAACCAGCAGATCGAGCCCATGTCAATGGATTTGAAAACCAGTTGAAACAAATAGAAATCAGTAAGATCTAGCGCCGCCTCTGAATCAGTCTGACTATATTTATTTAAAAACCCCAAAACAGGGATGAAAAACTCTAAAATGTCATTAGTCATTATATTAATAGTTTTATTTTACAGATTGTGCAACATCTTGACATATGCCCTGTAAGGTCTGCAATATTGATCAAGACTATACAAGCCCCAAAACCCCAAAATGCGACTGCCGCCTTTTTTAAACGGCTACACAGCTGGCACTGTGTGTGTGTGTGTGCACATGTAATCAATGCATGCAGTGTGTGTGCGCGTGTACCCAGCCAGGCCATGCCTTATGATCACACACACACAAGACAGCAAGACAGCCATTCCTATCCTCAACAGCTACAGGAGCCAGAGCAGAGAGACAAAATCTTTTTATTACTTTGTTTTCCCCTGCTATTCTTCAATATGGGTAAGTCTTAGATTTACCTAATTTATTTGCGATATGTGCAGTAACTGTTTTCTGTTTTGAAACGTAGTAATTAATGTATGATCGTGTCTACTAGGAGTGCTTTCAACGCCTGCCGCAAAGATGAGAAATGTATTGTATTGTCCCATCCATGTATTTTTATGTTAGATCTTGATGCAAGTTTGTGCATTCACCTACACATGGCTTTAAAGGCATCGTTTAACAATGTTAAATCTATGATGCATGGCCCTACGTATTATCAGTGTCAGTGATATGGTGTAATATTGAAGCCCTAACAAAATTGCGCTTCAAAATGATCATGAACTTGATGAAGTGCCTCAAAAAGTAAAAATCTTTGACTTTTGAGTGACCGGTTTCACCATACTCATTTTCCCCAATAGACTAGTGTTATAAAACCATTGGGGAAAACGTTTTTTGAAATTTTGAATTCCAATCATAAATATCTTGATAATCAGACAAGCCGCCGTCCCCCCCCCCCCCCCGCGCTTATTCCTCCGAAAGAGTGCGTTAAGGCGGTACTCCGTTTCTGCAACGCACCCTAATTTCAAGACAAGCGGGGAAGGGGGCTTTAATCACTTTATGGTGTGTTCGCAGTTTCGCACAATATAAACAGAAGCCCTCATCTGGAAATAAACAGCTAGACCCGTAAATGGTAAACAAAATTCCTCCCCCGCAGGCCGTACAAAGCAGTTTGTAGTAGATCTAGGCCTACATGTATGTGTGTTGCACATGCATCAACCGTTCAATTTGTTTTAACTTTATTTTTGTTCTTATTAATTGTAGGCATCTTTTGACATCTTTTGCCAAACAGTGGATTCAAAGCATATTGTGGACACAGTAGGCCTATATTGATGTGAGACCATGCAGAAAATGCTACTTTCTCTCAACCTCCTGGATCAGCATTCAGCAGCCTCGTGACACAGTTGAAGCCATTATCGGTAATTGTGTAGATGTACTTGTATTATTTCTGTACATATATTTTTAATTTTTCCCTGATCATGACACTGATTCGAAATGCTTATTTTTCCTAAGTTTCAAATATATAAAATTCAATTAATTTTAGATCACTAAAACCTGCAGGTATATTGCAATAACCGACCATATTTTTTGAGTTTCAAACAGTGTTCTTTTCCCTCCTTAGCAATAGAGCTTTGATTCTACTCTCATCAGCAAACTAGAATTGTATTGATAATTATTTGCAAAAAAATCCTGATTCACGTTTGCATTGACAACAAATGTTTAAAATGCAAAGGTATGTTTTTATATTTTGTTTGTGAGCAATGAGAGATTATTTTATTTCTGATAAATCTTTGAAACTGCACTTTTCTGACAGAATTCATTATTTAATTCATTGTTTACATTCTAGTTTTAAAATGGATAAAAGTTTTTCTTAACTTGTTTTCCTTTCTTTTTGCTCTATATTCATGCATTAGAATTCTTTGCGTGTATGTACCCTGGATCAAGCAGCACTTGCATTATACAGGAGATTCCACCCAAAATCTAAACCATGAGTCCAAGCTGAAGAGGAATATTTCCAAAATGAGGTCTACACACACACAGAGGTTACTTTCCCCTTCATTATAGAGATATCGAGAGAGAGAGATGGGTGGGGGGGGGGGGTGAGTTATAGCCACGAACCTGAATAGCTTAGATGTAGAACTGAGATGCCCATTCATGTCACTTGCCATTTTAATGAATTCCAGGGTTTACAAACATCCATATTAACACTTTGGGTAAAAGATCTCTGTATTTGCATAAATTTGTTATTACTATTTATGAAGTAGACCTGTTTCATAATGCTTATGTAGTAGATCAGTCTCATACTCGACCCCACCCCCTTCATATCACAATGTCAATTCCTAAAACCTGTGGCAAATTATATAAGTTGGTAATAGAGAAAAATTGAATGAGTTAGAGTCAATAAAAATCTATTCCAATCTTAAGCACTTAAGACTTTATTCAGGTATGGCACGTGAACCGCCCAAAAAATTCCAAAAATGCTGCAGTTTTGTTTTATGTTTAAAGTGAACGGTAACAAAGGACCTACATGTTTTTGTATATTTTGGACTGCGCATATTCAGTGATCTCTGTATTATAATATATAGAAATGTAAAGCATATAGAACTTTATGTCAACTCCAGCATCATATCTGAACGAGCCTTAAAAGACAATCCAACCCTTGTAATAAGTTCATTGAAATGGAAGCTGAAAAATAAGAGAAATAGAAAGGCGAAAGTTTGAAATAAATCGGGCCAATATAAAGGGAGTTGTGATAATATATAAATATGAGATCACTAAATCCATGCATATCTCAATGAAATGCTAGAGCGCCGTATGGCAGCCGTGCTAAAGCCAGGGTAATAATCGGGAGCGCCAGGAGGGTCAAATCTGACTGACATGAGCGCTACACAAGAACCCACTATTATTATTATTATTACACCTGTAGTCATGGGACAACTCTCCCATTTGTTAATGAAATATAATAAATTCTCTTTTTATTTTAAGTGCCTTCTCCCTTTGAGAACTACTCAAAATATATTATGAATAGCACATTATTACAGGTCCTCTACATAGAAAAACCACTCGTGAATCATACATTTTGAAGAAAAAAATATTTTAATCATTTTGTGTGTTGAAATAAATGGGAAAGTAGTCCAGCAGCTCGTCATAGTGACATTACCGATTCAGCCAATTTAAAATGCCCTTAGGTTTAGTGATTACAGCTTTCAACAATCCATAACCACCTTATTTTTTTGTCAGATTTAATTTGCTATTTTTTAAAAGTATAGTTGTCTGTTAAGGTTGGATTTCCCTTTAAAAAGTGTAAAGGGTAAGCCCTATGTAAAATAATGTGATTAGGCCATTTTCGTTATAAATCAAATCGAAGTGCCGCGGAACAAATTATCTCTTTCACCTATTAAGAATAATTGTATTTCAATAGTCAGAATGCGATATGCAAACAGTATGTGTTGTTAGGTAGGGCAAGACATGTTTGTCCTACCTATAGTACTAGCAAGTAGCAACACGTAATGTATTCAAATTGTATTCTGACTATTTAAATACATTTATTCGTAACAGGTGAATTTAATAATTGGTAATGAGGCACTTAACAAGGACCTACCGTATTCATTAAATTTGATTACAATACGAAAATGACCTACGTACATGTATTCATATTGATAGGAAATCTTTGAACTGTTATATGTCGTTTTCTGAGGGTTCATAATTTTATAAATTCTAAAGGGTTCATAATTCTACAAATGAAGTAGGATTCCTAATTCTGAAAATGAACTAGGATTCGTAATTCCAAAAATTAAATATGGTTCATAATTCAGAAAATTAAATAGGGCTCAATATACTTCCAAAAGTCTATTATTCTGAAAATGCAAATAGAACCCTTTATCCTTTTTGGAATTACGAACCGTCAATATAATGAATCCTATTTCATATTCAAAATAATACCATTTCATTTGCCGAATTATGAACCCTATTTCAATATCGTTATTAACGCCCCTTTTTCAATTCCAGAATTATGCACCATTTATATTTTTCGTAATTATGAAATCTATTTCATTTTTAAATTCAAACCCTTCTTAAATATGGACCATATTTCATTTGTTTATCGATTTGTCATAATTTGTCATAATACACTGTACTATCAAGTTACATTTATTGATGAACAGCATATCACAGCACTTGTCAAAATAGTAAGACCGTAAATGAATTTGTTTTGCTTGTGAATGTAGTAGGCTTATATTATGTAGTACACAATATTACATTTCCAATTGCTGCAACTTCATATCAATCTTTTACATGTACTATGACAATCTACAGGTCAAAATCATGCTTTGCGTAATCATTTGTGAATTATTCTCTATTTAATATACATGAATGAAGTACTTAAATTTGTGCAAATGAACTTATTCTCCATGGTGGAAAATTACAAACGAAATTTCTCAGCAAAAACTATATCTCATTGTTTCTACTCATGATGGCTACCGTAAGATAACTATTGCAAATTGCCAAACCTACTCTTTTAAACATCTACTCCAAATTTTCAAGATTGATTTCTCTTTGTTAAAACTGGCCATAATTTCTAGACAATAATTAGCCAATTTAACATTTTTTTTTTTCTTCTTTTGTTGTTGAAATGTGTAAAAAAAAAAAAAAAAAAAAAAAAAAAAAAATTCATTTAAGCTGTTAACCTTGCTTTTAAACTTTTATGTCATTGTAATCACTATATGATGTATGATATTCTGACAGATAATTAAAGGATACACTGTTAAGTGTTAAATATGATAAAGATGAACCAACATGATTGTGATGTCTTTTGTTAACAGACGTTTGCGAGAGAAAATAGTTAATTGTGTTGGAAGCAAACTTCATGCCAGCTCCTGTCATTTTCGTGTCTACTTTGCAGACCAGCATGCCCTTTTAAAGTACAAAAAAACAAACAAGGGCTGGCAGATTTTGTGAGGAGTACTGTGTTGGAAGTGCATTGATGTAGTAGAATTTAAACTGATCAAAAACATGTCAACCATGTAATGTAACCAATGCTGTGGTTCAATTGAGGATTCCTACTTGTGTTCTACTGGTCTCCTACTGGTTCCATTGGGGATTCATACTTGTTTTCTACTGGTCTCCTAATGGTTCCAGTTGGGATTCCTACTGGTCTCCTAATGGTTCCATAAGGGTTTTCCACTGGTCTTCTACTGGTATCCTAATGGTTTCTGTATGGATTCCTACTGGTCTTCTAATGGTTCCAGTTGGGATTCCTACTGGTCTCCTAATGGTTCCATTAGGGTTTTCTACTGGTCTTCTACTGGTATCCTAATGGTTTCTGTATGAATTCCTACTGGTCGCCTAATGGTTCCAGTTGGGATTCCTACTGGTCTCCTAATGGTTCCATTGGGGTTTTCTACTGGTTTTCTACTGGTATCCTAATGGTTTCTGTATGAATTCCTACTGGTCGCCTAATGGTTCCAGTTGGGGTTCCTACTGGTCTCCTAATGGTTCCATTAGGGTTTTCTACTGGTCTTCTACTGGTATCCTAATGATTTCTGCATGGATTCCTACTGGTCTCCTAATGGTTCCAGTTGGGATTCCTACTGGTCTCCTAATGGTTCCATTGGGGTTTTCTACTGGTTTTCTACTGGTATCCTAATGGTTTCTGTATGGATTCCTACTGGTCTCCTAATGGTTCCATGACTTCTTTTTTACTTGTCTAATGGTTCCAGCACTTCTTTTCTACTGGTCTTCTAATGGTTTTTATATCGATTTCTACTGGTCCCCTACTGGTTCCAGTGGGGATTTGTACTTGTTTCCTACTGGTCTCCTAATGGTTCCAGTTGGGATTCCTACTGGTCTCCTAATGGTGCCATTAGGTTTTGCTAATGGTCTTCTACTGGTCTTCTGCTGGTTCCAGTACGATTTTTTTCTACTGGTTTCTAATGGAAAAAGCGCCACTTTCCATATTGAAACCAGTAGAGAATTGACCACTAGAAACCGTTAGAAATCTGTACTGGTTTTCTCTACTGGTTTCTAAGGGATTTTCGACCTGGGTGGGAGGCTTATTATGTTGCAAATATTGTTTACCCTTGATACCCTATATAGCGCCACTACCATCAGACTGTGATAAATATGCTACTGACATTTGAGAAAGCTTTCGGAATAGGATCATGTATTATGTTGGCAACGATCTTAATGGCATTAAACCTGGACGCAGCACATCTTCAATTCGAAATTGACGACGACAAAGAGAAGGTTGTTGAATCAGCTATCTCGGCGGTTAAAGATAAAGATGAAACGTCTCTCATGCTCCCGTTCAAAGTCCATTTCAAGGATAACGTGTCTTTGGGTGTAAATGCTGGTGGTCCCATGAAGGTAAATATCAACACCCTTTCACACGATGGCAACTACTTTCGATAAAATCAACCGAAGGCAATTTCAATAGCCTCGTGCGTCACCTATCTACGTGTAAACATGATGATGACGTATTACGTAATCTGAAAATTATTGATATTGGAAATACAATAGCATATTGAAGTTGACCTTGAGTTGATTTCCGAAAATAATTGCGATCGTGTTAACTTAACTTTATCTTCAAAGAGAACATGCAGACATGCTTGAGGACTAAAGCCAAAGTTTTCGACGTCGTCTGAACTAAATATTTCAATCGCTGTGACTGTAGGCTTTGGAGAAGGAAACAACGCTGGAAATGCCTTAAATATTTACTAAAGCCGGATAATATTATACACAATGATGGTCAAAAGAATTACAAGCCGGTATATTACCGGTTTCCTCGGAATTGATAAGACTTAACAAGACTTGATACAACTTCTGCCGAACCCCTCTTTGTAATTTCATATTCGTTGTACGTGTGTTATATTGCTTTTTCTATATAAGATTCGAGATGAAGAACCTGAATTAACCAATAAGATATTTCAATTTCGATATTGCAATCTATACTGGACCGTAATTTTTAAATTAAAGAAAACCAGTATTAATTATTAGCTGTTTCCGATCTTGGATACTTTTTGTAGTTTGGGGTTTTGTTTTGTTTTGTTTTGTCTGAAACGTGTATTTTCTCTTACATTTCTCGTAAAGGAATTCTTTTCCCGACTGTTCGAAGAGCTCTTCAATGTTGAGAAGCATTCCATCTTCAAGAAACTCAACGATTCTCCTTCGTGTACGACATTGTGGTTTAACAAGGTCATTATCAAATTCATATTTCCATCTCGGAAGATAGAGTACCCATTATTACTAATCTCAATATAGTGTTAATGTAAGTTGATTATAGCTATTATGTAGAGCGTCCGCCTCACCACCGGGAGGTCGTGGGTTCGAACCCCGGCCGCGTCATACCAAAAATACGTTAAAAGACGGGAGTTGCTGCTACCTTGTTAGGTGTTCAACAATAAGGGATAGAGCAACGTCGATCTGGCGCTGCTCAGTGGCTGCCGGGCTCACGATCAATTGGGCAAAAATAATTTCCATTTTCGGTTTAATAACATTTGGAGTGACCTTAAAAGATTATTATTATTATTATTATTATTATAATTTGTGTCGGCCAAGTAAAAATATGCCTTGTAAATTTGGAAATAGTGTGCACCTTCATTCTGATCAAAACACCGTGCAATTAAAGTTTGTATCCTTCTGTATTTAAAACTTATCATAGGATTCTAAGGACCTGGACAAATTGCGATCAGTCGGG